AGTTGGTGAGTCATTCGGTATTACATTACTTGAAAGTATCGTTTTGACGTGGATTTGTCCGGGGTAGAAATGTTCTGTTTGTGATATCAGAGAAGGCGCATGCATCCAGTGTAACAAGGCATCTTGTTTCCTCGCTTTTCATCCGACATGTGCGAGGAAGGAGAAGTACTTGATGCCGATGAAGAGTACGCAGGGTTCTGAACCTGTTACTCTTGCTTGTTATTGTGAGAAGCATCTACCGGTTCGTCGCCCTCCTCTCCCTCGTATCGTGGACATTTGATAAGCGTCACTATATGCGCTATACAGAAGGAACAACAGGAATCTCGCCGTGCAGCACTAGCAGCTGAAGAAGAAGTCCAAAACACATCCTCAGAAACTGATGAACCAATATCCAACAACCCACTCACCCGTTCCTCCGCCATCAAATCCAAATCCGCTCGAGCTTATGCAAAATCATACACCCTCGGTCCACCTCTAGTCCCTCACATCATCCTGACACGTATCTTGGCCTACATCCAAAAAGTACCGATGAGGAAGAGGCAAGAGTTCTTGATTATGGTTTGTAAGTATTGGAGTTTGAAAAGGGAGGTTAGGAGAGGGGCGCCTTTGTTGAAGAGGTTGCATTTGGAGCCTTGGACTGCTGTTGGTGGGGGTGCGAGGGAGGGGGGAGCTGGAGTTGGGAGTGGGAGTGGGGTTGGGAAGGGGTGGACGGAGGAAGAGAGGGTTGTTAGGATTGAGGTGTGTTCTTTCTTTCGTTTTGTTCTTTTGGTGGGAGGAGCGTTGATGTGTTTTGGGGATGTGTAGTTGTTGAAACAGTTGAGAGAGGATTTGGCTAGTGTTCAAGCTTTGGCTGCGTTGAGTAGGGATAGGGAGAACCAGAAGTTGGAGCAGGCGGAGATTATCAATGATTTGTTCTCTCTTGCCTTGTACCCACATGAACCGCCGCTGAGGATGGCCTTTGAGAAGATTATAGGGTGCGTGTACCATCTTTCATCCCGTCATGATATCAGAGTGTGATGTTGCTTTCTAGGTTCGATCGGAATGACTATTTCAAGAACCCTGTTTCGAGATTAGAAGTGCCCGATTATTTCGATATCATCAAGAAACCCATGTGTTGGAACATTATTGACGGACGACTTGATCGACACGAGTATTGGGATATCCAAGCCTTCAGAGTCAGTCGCCTCTCCCATGTCATACCTGTTGGATTGTTGAACGTTTGGGTATGAATTAGGACGATGTTAATCTTGTGTTGGACAACGCTTTGCTCTATAACCGGCCGGGAAGTCTACATCACAAGGCCGCAGCCAAGATTAGGGCTAACTCGCAACCGATCTTGGAAAAACTCGATACGCTCGCGGTTTCCCGGAAATCACAAGGACTACCCATGGAAGACGAACTCCAACAGGGCGTACCTCCATTAGGCGATCTCGAACCTCCTCTCCCAATGCTCAACCTCCTCGTCTCTCAAGATGCGATTGCACAAGATATCGATCTCATACTCAACGCTGACCCAGTCACCTCTCTCTTCAACTATGAATTTGCGAAACTCAAACCTCCACCACCGCCACCACCACCGCCCAAACCCAAACCCAAGCGAGATCGCAAGGCGGAGAGGGAACGACGGAAGCTCGCTCGGGAACTTGCGGATGCTTCGCCTGGATTCCGTGTGCCTAGGACTAGGAAGGCCGTGGCTGAGGCTGCAAAGTTTGAAGCAGAGGCGGCGATTGCGGCGGCGCCGGAGCCTGAGCCTGAGGTGGATGTGACCGGGCCTGGGGATGAGGCTGAGCTAAAGAAAGTGGCCGCGAAGAAGAAATCGAAGAAGGCGACGCTGCCGTCGCAGAAAGCCACAGGACCACCGCCGTTGGTGGAGGAAGTGACTGACAAGGATTCGTTCAAGAACTTTGAAGTTGGTTGGATATTACCTGAGGGACGAAGAAGACGTACGAGGAAACCTGCTGCCAGCGACATTTCCCCTGCCCCTCCACCACCACCGCCACCGAAGAAGCGAAGTCACTTGGGTGCGTAATTATCGATCCGCTTATTCTGTGGTGCTTCGGCTGAAGACTTTTGATAGCTCGCCAGAAGTCGCGGTTGTCGGTTGTGACTACCTCTGCTGCTGAAAACGAGACCTTACAAGACACCCTTGGTGAAGCTTCCACCAGTAAACTTTCTCCGCGACGCGAGGTTCATTCTCCGATGGATGTCGATGAGGCGGCGGAGGATACTGTGGACATACCGCAAAACGAACTGGATGACGCGTCGTCTCCTCTCACTACGCCGGAAGAGGAGGAAAGGAATCCGTTGGAAGTGGAAGAGGAAGCGGATGCCGAGGAAAGGGAAGAAGCACCCAAGGGTCCTATGATCATCGAGGTGCTCGACACTCCTGCGACACGTCGCGAGAAGAGTATGCGGAAGAAAGAGCTCCGAGCTCAACGACTTGCTCAGAGAGACGAGTCGGAGACTTCTTCTGCCGGGCCCTCGGTCGTCAGCCGACCACAGATGGAAGATCTTGAGTCCGAGTTGAGCGAGTTGAGTGATGTGGTTAGTGAAGACGTCAAGGAGGGGGGAGTGGTTGTAGAAGAACCCCCCAAACCTACTCCTATACCAGCGAAGCCGGCTGCGAAGGGTTTGAGAGGGGAAATCACACTGGAAGAAGGGAAGTCGCTGGAGGGCGGTACACTTGGTTCGTCTTTCCATTCTGATACCTGATGCTGCTTGCTAACGAGTACGTGTTCAGTCTGGGCGAAGATGGGTAAGAAATCTGGCTAAACAGATGCTGTTCCTTGTATTTTGACTTACATTTTCATCGTAGCTGGTTACCCGTGGTGGGCAGCGGTTGTCTTCGAGCCTGACCATCCTGATGTTCCAGCAAATACCCTCAAGGTGAAGCCCAAGGAGGGCGAAACTGTTCTTGTATGTTTCTTTGACACGCAGTCGTCTTGGTAAGTACACGAATCACTCTCCTTAGGCATGTATTCACCTTTCACCTAGGCAATGGTTGGACCTAAGCAAGCTGAGAATGTTGGGTGAAGATGACAGTGCGTTCTATTCCATGTGCGAGTATTGCACAATACTGATCCGTCCACCCTAGCCCTTGATCAACAAATGTTGACGCAGAAATTCAAATCAGGGCATGTCAGGTCGCAGTGCCGAGAGGCGTATCGGTGCGTATCCCTTGTTCCTTGCAGGGTCTAGCCTTTGCTCACTTTTCTTTCCTAGTCGAGCAAAGGCGGAGATGGAGGGACCCGAGGATGAAGAGATCGAGGAGGTGCAGGCTGAAGACCAGGACGGTTCCCTCCCGACTGCACCTTCGGGTCATACAGATATGGTTTTGGCTGACTCCACCGAAGTAGCGGAGGACTTGTAGTCTTATTGGTTCCGAGTGGATGTATCGTTTCGCTGTAAGTTCTTGGTTATTCGTTGGTCCCATCACCAGTTGCTGATATGTCTTCAGGTAGCATATAGTCCATTGTACAATATGGTGTTTATACCAGCCGTTGCCATATTGAAGAATGCATCCGAAATGTAAACGGAAATCGGAGGCTGTGCTGCTGACTAAACCCTAACCTAGGTTGGTCAGCCCGAGCTCCGAGCTTACGCACCTTGTCCTATATCCACTACCTGTCCGACTGCCCAAAACACACATCATGGCCTCTGCATCAACCTCGACGATTTCTCTGACAGTTACTCATCGAGGGACTTCATATCAACTCCATCTTCTCCCCGATACCACACTCGCCATTCTCCATGCTCGGCTCGAAGAGCTCACGTCAGTCCCTCCGGAACATCAAAAGTTACTTTACAAGGGCAAGAAGTCAGGCACGGAGGACTCATTACTAGAGAAATTAGGCCTGAAGGATGGTATGAAGGTCCAAATGCTGGGTTCCACGGCGGAAGAAGTTGGCGGGATGCGAGCTGTCGAAGACGAGCGCATGCGTCGAGAACGTATCATGCGCGAACGGGCGTCAAAGCCGCAGTTCAAGGCGAGCGCCCACATTGTCTCGTGTAGAAACACTATGCTAAACCCTGGTGTGGCCAAGCAGGTTCGATCAACAGGTTCCTCAAGCCCGGCGTCGGCGCAATACAAGTTTCACCGCCTAGAGCCTCTCCCTCACCTCCCGAATCCCACTTCCGCCCTTACTCTTCTTACACGCCTATCCAATGACCCAGCAATCCAACACGTCATGCAACAGCATAAATTCGCAGTCGGCCTGCTGACTGAACTCGCTCCTCACGAACACCCAGAACTTCTTGGACTCAACGTTAACGCCGGACAGGCTATCAAGCTCAGGTTGAGGACAGATGCGTATGATGGGTTTAGGTTGTACAAGGATGTAAGAAGGGTGTTGTGTCACGAGCTTACACACAACGTTCATGGGGATCATGATAATGACGTGAGTCTCTACCTCTTCAATGAGGCGCATCTGACATGTTGCTGTTCGTAGTTCAAGGAGCTGAATTCGAGGCTGAACCGAGAGGTCGCCGAATACGAACGATCGGTATCATTGGGTACTCACTCACTGTCCACGGGTGGGGGTGGGGACGTATACGAACCTTCCTCCGAGGTTGAAGCTGAGGCCCGGAGTCATATCCTTGGAGGGGGGAGCCACACGCTCGGGGGGTCTGAAGGTGACAATGCCTCAGAGTCTCGCGATGAGCGGAGGAGGCGAATATTAGAAGCGACGATGAGTCGACTTAGGAAGGAGGAGGAAGAACTGGAGCATAGTTGTGGGACGGCTGGGCCCTCTCGGACTTTGTAAGGAGCCAAGCTGAAGTCTGGTGGCGTACTTGCTGTCAGAGTACTCGGTTTGGATGTTCATCGATTTGAGTGGACTTGAGGGTGAACCATGGTAGTCTCCGGTAGGGGAAACAGAGATGATGCACAGCTTGTAGCCAACGTCGGCGTCGAGCTCAGGACCGTTTACCGAAGGGAGAAAGAAGCTGTTCACCATGGGGTCGAACCCAGGACCTTTAACTTAAGAGGAATAAAAAGCTGTTGGCCCACCACGGGGTCGAACCGAGGACCTTGGCGTCGCCATTGCAACGGTGTTTTCACCATTTCAACGCTATTAGCACCACGCTCTAACCAACTGAGCTAGCAGGCCATGTAAAGAGGCTCATAGACAGCCTATATTATGGCTCTGTCACGCAGATCGCCTGAAGCGGTTAGCACGTCACAACGGTCACGCCTGTGACCACGACGACCAACGGCGCTCGTTGCCTTTGGTTTGCTAACTTTCTTGCTGGCTATTTTCTTCCCGCTTTTCACTGGCGCTACGGCTTCTCTTCTGGTGGCATGACCAACTATTCGTCGACTCCGCTGGAGCTTCGGCGACACAATGTGCTACCTCCAGCCCGGTTAATTCACTCCAGCAAATCGTTGGCTACTGCGAATGACGCGATAGCATCGATGCAACACCTTACTAACAGCCTTGCAGTTGTGGCCTGAACCGAAGGCCGTAGATTTGTCGGGACGCCACAGTCTTGGAACATCGCTGGCGTTGTTCTCTTCGCATCGGTCGAGCCCCTTGTCCTGGTTTGTTATCAGCGACGGTGTTTGCTATTCACGACGGCCATGAAGTCACTACTAGGTCGCCGGAGCGCTCAGAGTCTCCACGAGTCTTGCTAGTGCAAACGCGAAACTCGTGTTGATAGCCAAATAAAACCCATCCCTGACACCCTGCTACTATCCCACGAACTACCATTCTCGACACCCTGTCCGCGAGCCCTAGCATTGCGTCATGCGCCACCACGACCGCCACCCATTTGCCGCCCCTCAGCCACTCGCTACACCTACGGCTACCCCATACACAATCCCTAATCGATACATTACCACAGCCACGATAGCGTTCGCGATAGGCCCCAACACCATGTATACGCTACTACTATCCCTACCTCATACCCCATAATCTCCCCCCCCCCTCCCAAAAGCCACTCCTACCACCTGCGTATCGCAACGTACTACAGATATCTCTCATATTCCAGGACGTGTGCGAGGTTGGACAGCGCTCACATGCTTTCACCCGTATCGCTCGCTCCGCTAGCCTCTTACACCCCCTGTTGATAAGTCCTTTGTATTTACTCGTGCGATTAGCGCCAAGTCAAAGTTACATATCTCAGAAGGCGACCAAACGAGTACCGGAGTCTCACTGAACGTCTGATACAGTATGCTTACGATGCCCATCTGCCCGGATGAAAGGGTCGGAGCCAAGTAAAATACCACGTCCAATTCAATCGATTTCCCTAGAAAGATACAAAGATACCCAATATGACCCATAAATTTATGTACAGAACGGAGTAATAGCAAGAATGCCGAAATACTACAGAGCAGACATGGTCAGACTGGCTAAACCTGGAGACAAAAACTACGTACGATCGTATGGTCCACGTCGATGCCAGCCGAGGGGATTGAATCGGAGCAGGTAGGATCCTCCCCACTCGCGGCGCACTGCTTCACAGTTGACGGAGAAGCGGGGTCGGGGTTTTGCCAGTATTCGATACCTGCATGGCATCGTCAACATGAAACCAATGTGATAAATGGCTGAAGCGTACCATGGTGCTGATATCCCAGTGCTTGGGGAAGCATAGTGGGGACACTGGACAGAAGTATGAATGCACTGGTCGACCAGACAGCAAAGACACGATCTTACCCGTCGTAACGATGAACAACTAACCGCGATAGCAATAAGTATCGCCGCTAAGTAACAGATAAATGCGCGCGAAGCTGCTCACCCCTATAAGCACTGGATCCAAATTGAGTATTAACATAGTTGGCGTATGTCGGATTTCCCGTGCGAGGTTGTCCGTAGGTGTACATCCTGATAGGACTATGTGACGAGATGATTAGATGATACATTGGAGTGGACAGGGAAAGGGGGGAACTAACGTGGAGGGGAAGTTCGCCTGCAAGGTCACCGCGGCCAAGGAAGATAACGCGCCGCCCAAAGAGTGCCCAGTGGTGACAATTGAGTAGCCGGGGTGAGATTGAAGCTGTTCTTCCACAATAGAGATAACATTCGAAGCCACAGCGTTCCATCTACATTGGATAACTGGTCAGGAATGGTTGAAGGAAAACGCCAAGAAAACGGTCCTGCAACATACGCGGTTATAAATCCATAGTGAACTTGGGCTCCAGCTATGAAACCGGAGGAATGTCAGATTGCAGCATTGCGAGGAGACAAAGTCACGTGTACTGACCAGGTGGAGTGAGGCCAGGAGCATACAAGTTGACCAACAAGATTTCCGCGTCCGTGACGAAATCAGTAAGAGACGAGCTGAAACGGGAGAGTTAAACGACGTTTACTTCGGCTGCTAGCAGACGACACACCTTCCACGTAACGCTACAATGACCTCCTTTCGGGTATCATCCCTGGCGACGAATCCGTTTGTATCGGTGAGCAAGTCATTGAACTGAAAGCAGTAGCATATAGTCAGAAATATGCGGAGAGGGGGGGGAAGACAGCAATTTACCCCAGTCACGAGGGTATTTCCGTTCGGCCAGAGGCATACTATGCTGTAGGACGAAGCAGCATACTGGAAGTACCAGATAAAGTCGTCATAAAGGGCTGAGAGGAGCAAAATCAGTGGGAGTGTCAATACGCTTTGTGGAAACACCCACAGGTTGAGATGGACCTCTTCTCCAACTGTGACACCGGCTCCGTCAAAGGAATTGAGGCAACGCCAAAGACGAGGACCAGGGATACAAGAAGCCGGGAAAGAAGCATGATCAGCTTGGACTATTGGCGCTGTGGAGCACAGTACTTGAAGGAAGCAGGAGCTTGAAGTTTTCCTCTTGCATGAAGCCCACTTTATATGTTGTGGAGGATTCGGCAGCCGTCTCTTTTCTCCTGCTTACGGTCACGGTCGAAGCGAGGCCAACAAGCGAAATCTCAACATAGAGCGTCCGTCGAAACAGGTGGAATGAGCAAAGACATATTGCGCACCCGCTGACCTTGTGTCGTCGTTCTCGAGCTATAATAATCACTCGGAATGCTTCGAAATTACCGAGGAAGGGCTAAAACGAGCCTGAGATTACGGTCGAAGGAGCAGGATATGGGGTAGGCATATGGTGACCAGGCGGAAGTATTCCTCGTCGTGGAACGTGTACCTGAACATGGCCAATCTAGGAACATATGCGGCAGCTCCCATCAGACAATGTTTACACCCTATATCCGATACACGGAAACCATGAAGGCGTGTGCTGAGATGGGTATTAACCAGCCGGGTGTCGATTCAACGTGAAAACGGCCTTGCTGGGTCGCATGATGATATATGGGACGGTGGGAGTCCCGAAATAAGATCTCATGACCTTTTCATTGCTCGAACCGACGCTGTAATGAGGGCAATAAAGCCGTCGTGAGGGTTGTCGGATGATATGGTTGCTAACGTCGGAAGATCTACATACATGTGAATTCGCCAGTGAGAGAAGAAGTGGGAGTCGTCACTGTGTTGGCTCATCGGCCAACAAAGATGCGGAGGCCGCTCCCACCAACTTGGTTATGAGGGAAGGATATCGACATCCAGCCCACTGGAGGATCCCCACAAATAGACCACGGCCGTGATTATTCCCCATCAGCCTGCGCACGCTGCATGTGGTTTGAAAGCGAGATGAATTGCCTCGATCTCTAACGAAGTCCGTTGTGTGGATTACAGTAGGGGCATGATGGTCAAGGCATTCTTCGGCTGCGAGGAGACATTGACAAGTTGATTCACGTCCCCGTAGTGGTGTCAGTGCACACGGAGTGTGACGTGGTTAGGTCGTCACACCCATCCTCTGAGTCGAAGCCAGTCAGCGATGCAAGGTACCATAACAATGTTGTGCTAGGCCAGAAACTGGAAAAATCGAGAGAAGAGGAAAATGGATCCGACTGGGGTGCGTTCCGTAGTCACCCGTTTCGAGACTAATCTGCCAGTCCCAACCTCCCTTAACTATAGGTGGAGTCGACTCGTTGAGCGCTCAAGGTATGGCCCAGGGACTTTGAAGTGGGTATAGTACTTTATTATATGCCGCATGGTATGTCCATATTTTACAATCCAAAATGACGACCCCAGCCCCTCCCTACTCAGAGCCTTGCCTTTTGTTTGACCATGGAAGCGTTGTGCAAAAGAATCTTCGAGGCGTCGTTTACCATATTATCGACAATGGTTTGTGCAGGGAGGACTTCGTGGATCTGGGCAGCTACCCGTCCAATGAGCCAAGAACGACCCTCGAGCGACTTTTCGGGATGCTTTTGTAGCTCGTGCTCATGGGGAATGATACCCTTTGATGTGAGCTCTTTGATTTCGTCCTGACGGTTGTTGTTCCTGAGAAGCCACCAACATCAGAATTCGAGGGTTCGTTAAGACGAATGAAAGGGTAGGCTTACCAGTCATCGACGTAAGGTGTTCTCCGGACTCGCAAGGGACGACCAGTATAGATCAAAGTGGTAACAGCGTCCTCGTATCCACAGCTCAGAACAGCATCCTTATGTGCCTTGGGGGCACCAGCTTCAACTGAGGCGACGAATCGAGTGCCAACCCATACGCCTTGAGCTCCCCAGCTCAAGTTCGCAGCAAGACCCCGGCCATCGTAGACGGCACCAGCACCAATGACATAAATGGGTTGGCCAGTCAGAGGCGATTTGTGTCCTTTGACAGCGTCCACGCATGACGGGATGAGGATGGACGCTGGAATGTCACCCGTGTGTCCTCCACCTTCACCGGCTTGTGCACAGATGAGATCGACGCCAGCGGCGAGTGCTTTGGGGACGTGCTTCGGGTGCCCAACCATCTGAGTGACGAAACCGGTTGGTAATGCGAATTACGATAAGGCGGATGGGGCTCACATTCATAATTGGGATTCCCGCCTTGTGCAACTTCTCGACAACCTGGGGAGGAGGGACACCGATAGCGCAAACAAAAAGGGAGGCCTTCTCTTCGATGATCACATCGACCAGGTCAGGGAGCTGGCCCTTGGTATAATCGTACTAAGCGCCACCTCACGTTAGTCTACATGGTCAGAGTGGACCCAAAATAGGACCTCACATTTGTCTTTCGTGCATTTCCACCGACTTGAGGAATGAGAAGATCGACTCCAAAAGGCGCATTCTTATCCTTCAAGTGCGCC